CTCTCTCCCAGCTCTCTGTCCACTGCTCACACTGGGAGACGGGTTTACTGACGGGCAGTGAGGTGAGGTCAGAAATATAATAGGAATTGTAGAAATGATGATGTTGTGTCGTGTTTAAATTTTTTAATTCACATTTAAACGGGGAAAAATAACATGAACGAGAGAGGGCGAGATACCGCACTACCAGCCTGCTGTACTCCTGACTTGTAAATATCTCTGGAAACCCTGCTGTGTTTTTTTTCTAATTTTTAAGAAAATAAACTTTTAAAAATGAAATCCCGTGTGAGTATCTCCTGCGCGCGCCGGTGACTGTGAAGCTGCCAGAACGGGGAGGGACCCGGTGACGTCACCACAGCCAGGAGGAATAGGGACTGTGACGCAGACAGGAAGTGGCTCAGGGTGGTTATGGGAGTTGTAGTTTGTAACCAGCGCTGCGTCTGTGATCAGCTACAGCCAGTCTAATACCCGGCTCCCTTTAATACAGGGATACATGACTATATTCAGTATTGTATGTTCATTTGGGGTTTATTTTTACTGTGGTGGTTTGTGAGAGACGTTTTATTTGATCTCTGATCGTGATCCAGGGATTTCTTTTCTAGTCTTTTCTTTATTTCCCAATAAAGTGTGGTAATGGGCCAGTGAAAGCTCTGCTTTCCTTCATATGAAAAGCCAGGGGCAGTTTTTTTTTTCTTCAGAGACAGAAACCTGGGCTCCATGTCAGTCTTGTCTTCCGTCCTGCCGTTTGGACATTTCATGTGGACGATTCTCTCAGACTGTGGGACTGTGTCATGAGAGGTAGTTTTGACACACTCCCTTGTGCGCTGGTTAGTGTGGTAATTGTGAGACGCTCCCTAGAGCAGGCGGGTTAGAAGATGGCGACAGACCTGCTGTTCTAGTAAGAAGTGAAGTTAAACTCATTCCTGGTGTTGTGTTCAGCTGTGTTTAATATATATAAACTAACCTGAAACACGAGAGACTGCACCGCGAGATTACTGCACTGCTTCGGCAGTTTGTGTATTCAACATCATTATCTGAGGGATTATTTGTGAAACTTGGGCATGTACAGTATATAAATATATTTCATTTCGCTTATTTTTGTTCCTCTGTCCTGAAACAAAACGCGCTACAATGCGTTACTTGTTGCCACTTTTGTTTTAATCCTAGCCGTGTCCAGACTCTCAGAACAACCTGAAAAGCTCCTAATAATGTATCTCCGACCACATTTGAAATATTTCACTTTGTTCACTTCGTGACGCAGTGCTGTACCGCGGGAAAACACTGTCGACAAAATGAATATCGAACTTCGAGCTGTTCAATTATTCTCTTAGAAATACATTTTATTATACAAATAAATTAAACTGCTTGACTAAAATGTCTCTATGACTACAATGTTGTAAAAACAATGTTGTTAAAGGTCTGTTCCATATTA